ATAGATAATATAAATACGTATTATGGATTTATTTGAATCATTGAAATTTTCAGAAAATTTAAAAAAGAGCGAGGCTATAAGATAACTTTAAGATATGTCCCATACTAGATGTTGCCCGCGACTTCGTCCGCGTAGATATTATACTTTAACCATAGGTAATCACTTTCATAGTAAATTCCATCACCTTCTTTAGGGATGATTTCCGTGATCAAAGCTATTTCCTTCCCCGAGACTTCTAAACTATCTCGAAACCAAAATTCATCTTAATCGGTTCAGCGGCTTAAGCGTGAAGATGAAGAGTAAAAGTATCAAATTTTCACTATGTGTACGGTGGTAGAGCCACGCAGCAGTTTTTGCTGTTGCACGTATGGGCCGGCTCAAACCGGGTTGGTACCACCACCTCACAGAATACCGGCGTGAAGTAGAAGCTCTGCTTCTGCGTTTCGTCTGGTGAGTGCAGGTGGCCGGAGGCCCGATCCCCCCCCCCCCCCCCCCCCATCAATATGGTAGCGGAATTACACAATAGACTACCCCAGGAGGGTACCAGTACCCCTGGAGAATCCCTCGCTGAGCATCCACGACCGTGTTATTCCAATCCTGAGCGTGGGTGCTCAGGCTGCCCCTCGTATTCGGGGGGGGGGGGCAAAATTCCGCTCAAAAACATAACTGCTCGGGGCAAACTGAGCAACAATACCAAGGCGACCCCTGCCACGCTATCCGTGAATTTCTGCAACATCAGGGGACTTCACTCTAACCTAAACGCCGTCCACTACCATCTCGAGACGGCGAAGCCGGCCTTGCTCTTTTTGACCGAGACGCAGGTTTTTATTTCGTATCTCTCCTACCCGGGGTACCAATTGGAGCACTCCTTTGTGCCTCGGGCTGGGGTTTGCGTGTGTGTCAGAGGGGACATCTGTTCTCGACGCCTCGGCAGTCTTGAAGGTTCGGACCTGTCCATCCTTTGGCTACGCGTAGACAGCGACGACCATCCGTGCGTCTACGGGTGCCTCTATAGGTCCCATGGCGGTAATGCCGAAACAGACCGACTTTATCGACCACGTCCAAATGGCTACAGATTCCATGCTACAACAGGTCCCATCCGCAGAGATCGTGATCCTTGGTGATTTTAACGCCCACCATGCCGAATGACTCGGTTCACGTTTAACCAATCATGCGGGGAGATCTGTTTATGACTTTGCCTTGGCATATGGTCTGACACAACTGGTTACTTCGCCTACGCGGATTCCAGATGTGGAGGATCATACACCTTCCCTGTTGGACCTTCTGCTGACCTCTCATCCAGACGGATATCAGGTTTCCGTCGATACCCCTCTCGTTTCTTCGGACCATTGTCTGATCCGGAGTGTGGTGCCACTCACGCTCCCCTCGCGGTTACGTTTTGCAGGTTGCCGCCGTGTTTGGCATTACAGGTCGGCGGATTGGGACGGAATGCGGTTTTTCTTTGCTTCCTACTCATGGGGGCGGGTTTGCTTCTCGCCGGATGATCCCAGCGCTATTGCTGACTCTGTCACTGATGTGGTGCTACAGGGAATGGAACTATTTATTCCATCATCTGTGGTACCCATCGGAGGCAGATCTCAGCCTTGGTTTGGTCGCTCCTGTAAGACTGCATTACGCAGTAAGCAGGAGTGTTATCAAGCCTGGGCTGCGGCTTCGGTGACTCGGGATGTAAACACCAGCACACTTAAAAAGAAGTATAACTTCGCCTCCAGGTCCTTCAAAAGAGTTATTGCCAAGGCAAAGTCAGAGCACATAGGCAGAATTGGTGAGAAACTAGTTCGCCTTCCTTCGGGAACCCGTGCATTCTGGTCTCTCGCCAAGGCTGTCCAAGGGAATTTCTGTAAGCCATCACTACCATCTCTGCGCAGGGAGGACGATTCACTGGCCCAAGACGCAAAAGACAAAGCCGACCTTTTAGGCTCCCTCTTTGCATCCAACTCGACTCTTGATGACGGGGGGAAAACACCGCCGACCATCTCGCGGTGTGAGTGCTCCATGCCGGATGTGCTGTTCTCACAGCGCTCGGTTCGCAAAGCACTCCTCTCCCTGGACATCCAGAAGTCGAGTGAACCTGACGGAATCCCCCCAATTGTGCTGAGGACGTGTGCTCCGGAGTTGGCACCGGTCCTAACGCATCTCTTCCGGTACTCCTACTCCCAAGGCGTAGTCTCGAACTCATGGAAGACAGCTTTTGTCCACCCGATCCCTAAAAAAGGCGACCGCTCAGACCCGTCCAACTATAGGCCTATCGCGATCAAAAATAATAATGTTCTCCAAAATAATGGAATCCATTATTAACTGCCAGCTCATCCGGTACCTTGAGGATCACCAGCTGATTAGTGACCGCCAATACGGTTTTCGTCGGGGTCGATCAGCTGGTGATCTTCTGGTCTACCTGACCCATAGATGGGCGGAGGCAGTAAAGTCCAAGGGGGAGGCGTTGGCCGTTAGTATGGACATTGCGAAGGCCTTCGATCGGGTTTGGCACAAAGCGCTTCTTTCGAAGCTCCCTTCCTATGGACTTCCCGAGAAATTGTGCAATTGGATCACCAGCTTCCTTGCAGATCGGAGCATCAAGGTCGTTGTAGACGGTGCATGCTCTGACTACAAGCCTATTAACGCTGGTGTTCCACAAGGCTGTGTGCTATCACCAACGCTGTTTCTTCTGCATATCAATGATATGTTGCTAACTGGTAACATTCATTGCTATGCGGATGACAGCACTGGTGATGCTCTATACACCGGCCGTGCCAATATTTCTCGGGAAAACGTCGCCGAGTACCGGAACAAACTTGTGTCGGAAGTCAAGTCTTTGCTGGACAAAGTCTCGGATTGGGGGCGACTAAATCTAGTCCAGTTTAATCCTCAGAAGACACAAGCTTGCGCGTTAACCGCTAAAAAGAACCCCTTTGTCGTATCTCCTCAGTTTCAAGGCACTCCCCTTCTTGCCTCAGCCAGTATCGGTATCCTCGGAGTCAACATATCGAGTGACGTGCAGTTTCGTGGTCACTTGGAAGAGGAGGCCAAATTGGCTTCTAAAAAGCTTGGTGTGCTCAACAGAGCGGGACAGTATTTCATGCCGGCACACCGCCTGCAACTTTACAAGGCGCAGGTTCGGCCTCACATGGAATACTGTTCCCATCTCTGGGCAGGGGCTCCCCAGTGCCAGCTCCTTCTACTTGACCGCATCCAGCGCAGAGCGGCTCGAATTTTCGACGACCGAGCCCTTTCCGATCGGCTCGATTCATTGGCACTGCGAAGAGATGTTGCATCCCTTTGCATTTTCTTTCGCATCTACCATGGGGAGTGCTCTGAGGAATTGTTCGGATTAATCCCAGCCGCCAAATTTCACGAACGCACATCGCGGCAGAACTCCCGATACCATCCACACCATCTGGATGATTGGCGGTCCACCACTGTGCGATTTAGAAGATGTTTTCTTCCTCGCACGACTTCCTTGTGGAATCGATTACCATCAGCGATTTTTCCGGACCGATACAACTTAGGGACCTCCAAGAAAAGAGCGTACTCCTTTTTAAAAGGCAGACATCTGCAATTCCCTCAATGGTGTTGCAGTTGTTCATGGGCGGCGGTAGTCACTTACCATCAGGTGAGCCGCATGCTCGTTTGCCCCCTCTCTTTGGTAATAACGGCTTACACATAAAAGATACATATATACTGTCGCAACTTTTTTGTAGAACTATTTAGGAAAAACAATTCCACCATATATTATATTTGTGTAACTCTTATAGTTTTTCCGCCGCACGCCAAAATAGCTCACAGATAACAGATTTTTTTTCCCACTTACTTAACACTTATCCTTATATTTTGACCAATTTACGCAATGTCTTTATTAATTATAGCCTGGGTGTTGTTCTCATGTATAAGCTATATTATTGTAAAGTTTCATTAAAATACATTCAGTCGTTTTTGCATGGAAGAGTAACAAACGTCCATACATCCTCACAAACTTTCACGTTTATTATATTAGTAGGATGTATTAAATATTCATTTCCGATTTCATTTTCATTCAAAGAAATTAGTGAAACCACATCATATAAAATACGTAATATAATTCATTTCCGTAAAAAAAACGTACAGAATAGATATGAGAAGCACGAAAATGATATGTATTTCTGCTACAATAAAAAATAACTTGGAGGACAAAGGTGACGCATAAGGTTCCGACCATAAAACACGACACTTCCTTTAGAAATAGATGCCTGTGACTCTCGCGGTCACATAACTATGTCAATGTCGAAATATCTATTCGCTGCCGTAGATTTTGTCACAAAACATAATCAGTTTTTTTTTTTCGGCGAAATTATTAAACAATAACAATTACTCGCTACGATGCGCTACAGTGCATTTAAGGTCAAGCGTAGTACATGTTTGTTTAAACTAATTTTAATAATTACGACTATAATGGGACTTTAGCAGTGTTTCCTGTTAAACATAAAATATGGAAATAATTTACAATTTAATAACTGAAATTTGTCAAATTTTTGACAAAAATCCTGGTGTATTAATTCGTATGTATATTCATGCTAGGTAATGAACGGGCAATTTTTATTTAATAATAATTAATTTCGTATAGTCATTGCAATAAAAAATCGAAAAAAATTAAGTTGTGAAATCCTTATTATATATTTATAACTCAAAATGGCAACAATTTTTTAACGTTTTTAGTCCTGAGCTACATTTAAAGTTTCAAATCGGTAATTCATTCGCAAGTTAGTTTAAAATCGGTTGCTAAATTAGTACTGAACAGAAAAACAAACAGAGAGTCAAGAAAGTGACTTAATTCTGCATTTAATCGATTTCTGAGTTCCTAGCTCTTCGAGAAGTTAGTTGAAAATCAGTTGCAAAATTTGTACTATATTATATATTATAAAAAAAAAACAAGGAATAAAATGACTAAACGATTCAAATAAACTGTTGCCTTTTTTTAGATATCTATACTGAAGTGGAAAAATTACCTGAAAGACACTCCAAAATTTGAAGGAACCCTCGTTTATAAGCCAGTCGTAATATCCAGCCCAGGGGTCAGTGTATCTGCCCTGTTTCATAGGCTTTGCAGTTGTGGTCGTGTCATGATCGTGGTAGTGGTGCTCGTCGTAATAATCTTTGAATCCTCGCCCATCCTCCTGCGTGTCATTCGTTGTTTTAGCCCGTCGCAACTGTAATACAATAAAACTTTATGTTTCTCACAAAATTTTACGTTTTTCACGTCTGTAAAGGGCGTTACATTGTAGAGTGAATTTAAATTTTATAAAATAAAAGTTACTAACAGCTACTAAGTTACAAATGAAATAGTACGCACATATAAATCATAGAAATAACAAACTGAAAGGTTATAGGTTTAGTGATCGAAGGTATTTATTTAAAAAATGAAATATAATTTATAGAATCTAATCCACCATCTCCTTATTTCCTTACATATTTGCGAAACGTTAACAGATTGAGTTGGAATATTCAGTTTAATGTATACGTCTCCCACGTGGTAGAGCCATACTGCAGCTATATTAGTAATATAGTTGTAACACGAATGGGTCGGCTCGACCGGGGAAGGACCACGCTCTCGCTGAATACCAGCGTAAAATAGCAGCTTAATGCTGCTGTGTTTCGTATGGTGAGTGTAGAGAACCGGAGACCTGTTTTACTGGAATAGAGGCGTTCCATCTTAGTCCTCACGGGTGACGATGCATCTGCATTTTGATTCGCAAACGAGGATAGATGTAGATGTCTATGGGCCACAGCAACCACTTACTATCAGGTGGACTGTGTGCTCGTTTGTCACCCTATCCTATAAAAAAATGTAATACCATTTATGTACACAGACGTCTCATATTTCTACAAAATTATAACTACTAACTACAATTTATAAATTTTACTTATTTTACGTACTTTAGATATAAGTATAACATTATCGAGCAATTTATCATGTGCTCAACAGTAAGGGAAAATTTTGTAAAGAAGCCTGCATACCTAGTTAACAAAATATATGTAATTCAAAGATAAATAATGAGTTCAATATACAAGGCCGCTTAGTTCCAGCAGCACTTCTACAAGCTGGTACTTTACTACTTGTCTAAAGTTTTAATCAATGTTCAAGACATAAAATTTAATATTTTTAGCGAATAGACATGAATGACCTTCTTACAATATTGAAATATTGTTCCAATACAGTTTCAATACTTTTTTACGCTCAACATGATTATTTGGTCAAAAAATGGTGTCGCCTGTGCTAGACAATTAGCGCCACCACACTCGGTCACCCAGTTCAATCGATACCGTTAAACTGTCCCTAATTTGCAATCGCCATGTCACTCATGTACAAATCATTATTGGAAAATTTCATTTCGCCTTTTCAATTACGTAATTATTTAAGACCAGGACCGCCTTAATGCATGGTGCTCTTGGGTACCTAAAGTTTGAAAACCTTTTAGAAAGTCAAAAAAGATTTTTTTTTCTTTATTAAATGATTATTTAATAAAAACATATACACAATAATTATAGTTAGCCTTACATACAATACACAGGTACGAAATCTGTTCTTATATTGTTTTAATTAAATATATAAAAGAAAATATGGGTATTCAACATTTACAGGTTTGTCATCAAATTCGAAAATTCGTACGAAAACACTCATCACGATCGTACATACATCATCGGAAAGTTTTGCTCTTGGAGCTGTCTATTTTATATAAGGCTAAGTAATATACTAATAAAACTTCAGAAACACCAAGAAAGGCGAAATAACTATATCACACTTAAATAATTCAGATTTGTGACGGAAAATCAGGTCTACAACGCGTTTAGTATTGCAATTCGCCTGCTGTAGCGTTTATAGCAAATTCTCATAACTTACAAATAAAATGAGAAGAATATTTCTCAAGTGTCTCACCTGAATAGAAGTAGCATTGACAGTATCTTCAGGCGCTTTGCTAGTCAGGCGCTTTTTGTTCATTTTCCTGACAACATCTAAAATAGTGCGCAGACCGGAAAGAATGAGCTCGGAAGGAGAAATACTGGATCCCGTAGGCTCAAGATCCGGGGGGGTTGAACCCACTTCACCGCGATCATAACTATTGTAGCTGGAACTTAAAACATACATTAATTTAACATTTTACACGTCGTAGAGCCATGCTGCAGCTATATTATGTAGAAAGAATGGGTCGGTTCGACCTGGGAAGGACCACGCTCACAAAATACCAGCGTAAAATAGAAGCTTAACACTGCTGTGTTTCGTATGATGAATGTAAAAAACCGGCGCCATAGTGGAAACTAGACATTCCATCTTAGTCCTCACGGGTGACAACAAATCTACATTTGGAAGCTTAATCGAGGATAGATGTGGATTTTTTATGTCATCCACTTACTATCTGTAAACAGGGTGCTCGTTTTTCACCTTCATTCTATAAAAAAATTAGACTTACATGTTAACGGATTAATATTTTAAACGCTATGTTCACATATTTAATTACGTTATTTTTCATTTAAACTATTTTAAGGAACACTTGAAAAACATTTGGTGATTATGACTTTTTCTGTACTTAATACTTTGTATAATCCTTCTGCGTGTAACTATCGCATATTAAACATAATAAAACATAACAATGTTTTAAACAAATTTTTTATATTTCGATTTACTTATTAATGAAATAATGCTTTTGCGAGTAGTTTATTTGGTTATATATATATATATATATATATATATATATATATTCATATAACTATAACAACTACTCATATCCGAACAGCATAAAACTTAAATATTAATTTAATAATTTTATGTGACGATACGCCATATCGTACCGTGGATATCGAAACAGACGTTAGAAGGCTGACACAGGAGATGGGCATGACATTACTCCTGACAACAACTCAAAATAATAAAAAACTGCGGTTGCCCACCCTCCAGCCAAGCTTGGCAACTATGGCTAAATAAGGCAATCTGTGTGGAGGCCTATGTTTATCAGTGGGCTTTTATAGGCTGTAATGGTCTGATGGAGGGATGTGATAATACAGTTCATTAATTAATAGCCCTAATATGACAGCTCTTACGAGTGTCGCCCGTTAGATTTACTAGTTCATTTCGGAATAAATAAATACTAGTTGTCTTGGTACATGTGATAGGTATTTTATTTCATTAAAATCGAATTAATATTATTAAAATTTTAAAATCTATGTTTAGAGATATCAGAAACTACTTACTGCGGTGGTATATATTTGTACTTGTTATACGGCGGAGAGTGCGGCGTAGCCGTATCATAATGTGCAGCTCCAGCACTAACTCCTGATGCCCAAAGCGCGAAAGCTACTGCCAGCGACCACACCAACGCATGACAAGTCAAAGGAAGTATGCCCCGTATTGTCATTTCACGTAGCAGGACAATTACAAAAAAATAACTTAACGAAAATTGTATTTTTTTCTCTCACTGTAAACTATCGATTTCTGTATTGACAAAAGTCGTATTATTTTTTGATTCAAATATTAAATATTCGCACGTCTTGTGCTGAGTATACACTTGGATGATACCAAACAGACTGACTGATTTGAAACGAAACGTCCCAGTTAACCGCGCTAAGGGAGCGCCTGAGATATGAATTCTGCAAACAACTCGTGCTCTCGTTGCTGTCTAGCAGGGTGTCAATTTAATTTGCGACATTGTCACTTCACCCACATAAATTCTACGAGAAAAGTTTGGGAATTTAATGATTTTGTACGAAATTCAAGTTTTGGTTAGAGATATATCTCCAATTACTTGTAGAAATTTGTTAGCTGTATTTTTTTACTGATCTGCATTCCTGAATATTGGGGTCTAAATTCGGGATTGAAGTCAAAGCTAAAGTCAATAGTTGTGCACATATATTAATATCTATTTCAGATTCCCCCGTATATGAAATACTACTTCTAAAGTAACTTATCTTCGGATCTATAAGTATTAATGTTATGTTTAAAAAGGTAGACATACACACCGGATATAGTGCGAATCATAACTAAAAATTTGTAAACTAATTTTTTTTATAAGATAAGGGCAACAAACGAGCACACAGTCCACCTGATGGTAAGTGGTTGCTGTGGCCCATAAACATCTACATTTATCCCCAATTACGAATATCAAAATGTAGATGCGTTGTCACCCGTGAGGACTAAGATGGAATGCCTCGTTTCCAGTAAAAAGGGTCTCCGGTTCTCTACACTCACCATACGAAACACAGCAGCATTAAGCTGCTATTTTACGCTGGTATTCTGTGAGAGCGTGGTCCTTCCCCGGTCGAGCCGACCCGTTCGTGTTACAACTATACTAGAAATATAGCTGCAGCATGGCTCTACCACGTATTATATCTACACATATTCATCATCATCACCATTACAGCCCTTCACGATTTTAAAACATCGATCTAGTGTAGAGCGGCTAACACACGATGGATTGGCAACCTGGTAAGACAGTATCATCTCCTTGCAGGAAGTCGATGAATGCAGGTGGTTCAAACCAGTGTTTAGTGACATTCCTTGAGGCCTATGTTAGGAACACAAAACATCATATTACAAACTATAAATCACCTCCGTCTGCTTAGCGGTTTTAGTGGTCGTTAGCGGAACTGCTGTACCGGGTTCCAATCCCAAGGCCACTTTTTTAAAGTTAAAGCTTCTTTGATTTTCCTATTATATTATGAAAACATTTGTTTAATCAAGCATCACCCTGTTAAACTGGTTAAATCGTGACAGTGGTAACTTTTACCTTTTTTTTATTACTTACACTCTATTTAATACATTATAGAAGCTTATTTTAACGATCAACTTAAATATGAATGTAAACTTAATAAATAAATTAAGTAAACTTGTAGGAATCAATTAAATAAGATTTCTCTGTTTAAATTATGTCTTTTTGCTATATATACTCATATTTTTAACCTGATGCTTAACTGACTTACCTTGCATAGTAAATCGCACTCGCTTAGTAAAAAGCCTATTCACCATTGTATTCGGTCCGAAAGACTGCTGCAGGCAAGTTATTCTTATATTTTGCAGTAATCATAATAAATTACGCAGCAAAATGCTTCGTCAGAATGCTAGGTATATCGACAATATAAAGATTGAAACCCGTAGTGTGTGAAGTTGTCCGATTATGGAAATGGGATGAGGGAATACAATTGTCCGATTTCAGTGCACTAGTCGTAAAATAAAGTAAAATCCAAAACATAAATAACTTTAGTGTAACTTACTAAGCAATAGTACACGTGGTGGTAAAGGTCAACTAAGCTAGCTCCAAATCACTAATGAGATAATTCTCACAACTCTTCTTTAGAAGATTTTAATCTTATAGGTTTTTCATTTTCATACACTACAGTATGACTGTAATTTGACCATTAAAATATGACAAAAAGGAAGTTTCTTCTCCGATGCGATGTAGTAGTAAAGATGATGAGCGTGCATTCAATCGCCTTGATGGTAGAAGGATATTTTTATAGGAGGCGGCAAACGGGCATAATACCAGCGTAATAGGTATAAAAAAATCAATTTCAATTACTTTGAAAAGCAACGATTTCATTTAATTGTATCGACTTTTCATTACGATCCACTGTATAAAGGAAAATGGTCACAGCAGGACTGTAAAACTACCGTGGAATTAACCTGCTTAGTATTGCATTTCAATTGTGGGCATTTTCTGATTTTTTTATGGGATAGGTTGGGTGACAAACGGGCACACAGTCCACCTGATGGTAAGTGGTTGCTGTGGCCCATAGACATCTACTATCCTCGTTTGCGAATCAAAATGCAGATGCGTTGTCACCCATGAGGACTAAGATGGAATGCTTCTTTTCCAGTAAAAAGGGTCGCCGGTTATTTACCCTTACCATACGAAACACAGCAGTGTTAAGCTGCTATTTTACACTGGTATTCTGTGAGAGCGTGGTCCTTTCACCGTCGAGCCGACCCTTTTGTGCTACAACTATACTATTAATATAGCTGCAGCATGGCTCTACCACGTACAAAAAGGGTCACAGCAGGACAGCAAAACTACCGTGGAATTAACCTGCTTAGTATTGCATTTCAATTGTGGGCATTTTCTGAAAATTATATACTAAGCTGAGTAAGTTATGAAAAGAAACTGACAGAAAAATGTGGGATGTTGCAAGCTGGATATAGTATGGGGATGGAATGTACAGACCAAGTTTTTTTTTTGTAGTAATCCAGAGAAGTTATTGACCAAAACCAGAAAGTTTTCATTGCATTTCTAGACTTGGAAAAGGCCTATGACAGAGTTAACATGGTTGCTTTATAGCACACACGGACTTGTTTGGTATCCATAAAAATGTCAGACAGGGTTGTGCAGCTTCTCAGTGGCTGTTCAATCTGTTTACGGACATATATTTAGAAAGTTTGAAAGTCAAAGAATGAGGGTTAGAAATCTGTAAGCTAAGGGGGAATAAGAAGTACTTGTCTTGATGGAGACGAAAATTGATTCGAATGCGGCGTACATACCTAGACTATCTTAGATTATTCATAGAGCACAAATTTTCCGTGCCGCAGTATGTCAACACGGGTAGTGATAAAATCTTTTATACCTGTGTCTAGTGATCACAAATTCCTCAATATACGAATATAGCGGTGTGTGCAGTATAGTAGATATACATATATGTCAATGATGAAATGCAACACATTTTTTTCATCCTACCCTTAGTGTATTGTGTAGTATGTGGGTTACCGCAAAACATCCGGCATTAGAGTTTTTTGATGTCTTTCCAAATCGGTCGAGACAAATTTCTATCGACCTACACTGCTTCCGCTGGTAAAACTGGAACTGGCACCCTAGTGCATAAGAATATAGCATAGCGTTAAAGAAAAGATAGACTTTTTAGCGTCTCTCTTTGCTTGTTATTCACGTCTTGACAGTGGCAACAACGTTTCACCTCCGTAACCTCACTGGCATGACTGAGGAGAGGACATTAAAATAGAATAGAATAGAATAATTTTTATTCAATATAGATTACAAGTAATTCTTATTAAAAGACATTTTTTATTTTTACTACTAGTTCGGAAAAAACTTCTGTCCTGGGAAGATATTATATACCTTGCGAAACTTATTTAAAAAACAGCTTGGAAGCGATTACCTCATTTCATATTGTCAACCATGTATTCATTTATAATACAATGACTTTTAAAACCTTGCGGGGTCTAGATATGAACAAGCTACCAGCTGTAGTCATAAAGACTTATGATTATGATTATGATTAGTGATATTACTATTCCAATAGTGCCTAAATACTGCAAACTAACTAATGTATAGCCTATTCCAAAAATAAGCAACCGTGCCAACCCTACCATTTATGGGCCAATCGCAATTACTACCATTCTGGAGCTTATATTGTACGCCCCCCTACCTAGAGCAGAACGACCTCCTCAGTGACCGACAATATGGGTTCCACCATAATCGGTCGACGGAAGACCTTCTAGCGTATCCTATGCACATATTGATCGTGGTTTTAGTGAAGAATGAGGAAGTAGTGAAGAATGCCGTGTAGTGGCGGTCAAGAATACCACTACCCCATATCCTCCCGTGGGTGTCGTAAAAGGCGACAAAGGGAAACAGGCAGGAGATGGGCAGCATCATCTTCCTGATAATAGCCAAATTTACAATAAAAAAACTGCGGTTGCCAACCCGCTCGCCAAGCGTGGCAACTATGGCAAATACCCCCCTATGAATGTAACAAAGAGACGGCCCCCAGTCCCCGGCGGCCCCGCTATTCCTGGTTACGGTGGCGACCATGGTAACGGCGGGGCAGGGGGTGCTAAGAATCTCCGGTGGAGGTTCGGTTGCCACCTTAGACGACTCGACCTGGCAACGTACAACGCACGCACCCTGAGGACTGACGAGAAGATCGTGGAGCTGGAAGAAGAGATAGACAAGTTGCGCTGGCATATTATAGGATTATCCGAAGTCCGAAGAGAGGGGGAGGACACGGTAATCCTCGAATCCGGCAACTTGCTCTATCACCGGGAGGGCGACCATCTGTCCCAAGGAGGTGTCGGATTTATCGTCCACAAGTCTCTCGTTAACAACGTTGTAAAGATCGGGAGTGTGTCGACGAGGGTTGCGTACCTTATACTCAGAATCACCAAACGGTATTCGCTGAAGGTCATACAGGTTTACGCACCAACCTCGGCACACCCCGATGGGGAGGTGGAGGAAATGTATGAGGATATATCTAGAGCCATGCATTCCTCCAAAAGCCAATATACGGTGTTAATGGAAGACTTCAATGCAAAACTAGGCACAAGAGAGAACGGTGAGCTGAAAATAGGGAAATTTGGAATAGGGCAACGGAACCCAAGGGGCCAGCAGCTGGCCGACTTCATGGAGAAAGAGGG